GGGGGGGGAGTGGATGTTCTAACTCAGGAAAGAGATTCCAGAGGTTCTGGAGTGATCCTGCACTGGGCTGGTTGTTAGGGCTGTTTTAGGATGAGTTGAAAGGTTCGGCATCCTTTATGCTGAGCTAATATCTGTATGAAGTCTCCCACCAAGAACATTTGGAGTCTCACAGCTTACATCCCCTTCCTCGCGCTGACCTTGACCTCACCCAGTTCATGTCTCTCTCCTCCCACTACCTTGACTTTGTACCCAGTTCACATCCCTCACCTCACATTGACCTTGACCCGATGTCTAGTTCAGGTCTCTCTCCCTCTCGCCCTAGACTTCGACCCTCACCACTTCTGGCACTGGAGCAGCTTCGCAGACTACCTGCAGTGTGTCCTGGCCTTCACGGGCGTTGCCGGCTACGTCACATACCTGTCCATGGACTCGGCCGTGTACGTGGAGACCCTGGGCTTCCTGGCCGTGCTGACCGAGGCCATGCTGGGGGTGCCGCAGCTGTACCGCAACCACCTCTGCCAGTCCACGGAGGGCATGAGGTGGGTAGGCACGTGGCCCTGTTGCTGTCTCCTTGGCACCAGGTGCACACATGTTCAGTAAGAGTCAAACGGGTACAAATCTGGCTGCTTTACTTTCGATTACATTTGTGGGCAGCCAGTTAGAGAGCAGTTATGTTTGAACACAGCTGTCCATCGATCTCTTGATGCGTGAGCATCGTGCTTGTGTGTGACACGTGGGGAGAAGCCTGTGAGCAGGTAACAGGCCCGGGACCGAGAGCTACCCCTGCGCTGTTAAGCGTGACGCTTCGGCATGGGAGGGAGGTGCTGAGTGGGGGTGGGGGACCGAGGGGAGCAGGCTCTGCTCACAGTGGCACAGGTGTACAGCTCTGGGTGGGGTGTCACGAGATGCACTCTCAGGATACAAGTCCAGAACATGTTGCATTAAATTTATACCAAAGCATTTCATTTGCTTTTGTGTAATTGTAATTGGTATTGCATTTTAAATTTCAATTTCCGTTTGCTAGTATATAGGAATACAATTAATTTGTATGTTTCTCTTGTATCCAGTCACCCTGCTGAACTAATTTTATTTTTTATTTATTTATTTATTTATTTATTTATTTAAATTCCTGACTTAAGGACATGCTTGTTGATTTTAGAGAGAGGAACAGGGAGAGACAGAGAGAAACACATTGATATGAGAGAGAAACATCAATCAGTTGTCTCCAGTACACTCCCTCACCGGGGATTGAACCTGCAACCTTTTGCTGTATGAGATGATGCTCCAACCAACTGAGCCACCCAGCCAGGGCTGAGGTCATTCATTTTAGGAATTTTCTTGTGGATCCTGGATTTTCTTTTTTTTTTTTTTTTTAATATATCTTTATTGATTTCAGAGAGAGGAAGGGAGAGGGAGAGAGAGAGAGAGACAGAAACATCAATGATGAGAGAGTCATTGATCAAGCCCACAACCCGGGCATGTGCCCTGACCAGGAATCGAACCCGGATCGCCTGGATCCTAGGTCCACCCTCAACCGCTGCACCACGCCTGGCCGGGCTGGATTTTCTATGTAAACAATTATGTATAAATAAGGACATTTTTATATCTTCCTTTCTGGTCTGTGTGCCTTTTATTTCCTTTTCTTGCTTTATTGCACTAACTGGAACATCCAGCCCGTGTTTAATAAGCAGGGATAGTGGGTGAGGTGGTTTTCTGGTCATGAGGAGAAAGCATTCAGTGTTTCACCACTAGGTATAATGTTAGGTATAGAAAATTCTCTGTTCCTGTGTTTCTGAAAGCTTTTATATTAAATGAGTGTTGAATTTCGTTAAATGCTTTTTCTGCAATGATTTATGTGATCATGTGATTTTTCTTCTTTAGCTGACGGTAGTTACACTGATGATTCTGAAATATCGAACTAGTCTTGTATCCCTGGAATAAAGCTCACTTAGTCATGATGTACAAACAAACAGAAATAAATACGTTGCTGAATTCTACTTGCTAGTACTTCAGGAATTTCTGTATATTCAGTTTTTGTTTTCTTCTTTTGGCTTTGGTATTTAGGTAACACTGTCTTCATAAAATGAATTGGCAAGTCTTCTATTTTCTGGAAGAAATAGTGCAGAACTGGTGTTAATTCTTTTTAAGCATTTACTAGAATTCTCCAATGAAACCATCATGACCTGGATATTTCTTTTTTGGGAGGGTTTAAATTATGGATTTTAATTTTTTTTAAATATGTTTTTATTGATTTCAGAGAGAGGAAGGGAGCAGGAGAGAGAGAAACATGGAGGATGAGAGGGTCATGGATCGGCTGCCGCCTGCACGCCCCCTGCTGGGGATCGAGGAGCCCGCAGCCCGGGCCTGTGCCCTGACTGGGAATCAAACTGGGATCTCCTGGATCCTAGGTCGATGCTCATCTGCTGAGCCACACCGGCCAGGCAGATTCAATTTTTTAAATAGTTATAGGGTTATTCAAATTATCTATTTCATATTGGCTGAGCTGTGGTAGTTTGGGCTAGTTGAGGAACTGGCACATTTAATCTGTGGTCAAGCTGTTTGTCCTGTTCTCTTCCTGTCGGCGTGATGTTTGCAGGGACCCTCCTTTCCCGCTACTGGTCATTTACAGGGGTGGGCAAAAGTAGGCTTACAGTTGTGAGTACGTGAAACACAGAGTTTATTCTTGTATTACTATTTATTAATTATTTGTAGACCTACTTCTGCCCACCCCTGCATATATTCTTTCTTTCTAGAAATTTGTCAATTTTGTTGATCTTTTCAAAGAATCAGCTCCTTGTTCTGTTGATTTTCTGTTTCACATTTCATGAATATTTGCTCTTTATTTAAATTATTAATATAAAACTTTTTCTTTTTCCTAATGTAAGAATTTAATGCTGTAAATACCATCTCAGTGCTGCTTTAGCTGTGTGTGATGTTTTATTTTCATTCATAACAGTGCATATGTTTATTTCAAGACTCCCTTTGACCTGTAGGTCATTTAGAAGTATGTTGTATAATTTCCATGTGTTTAGAGTTCAACAAAAGCCCTGGACCTCTTTAAAAAATAACTTTATTGAGCTATAACTCACCATACAATCTCCCACTTAAAGTGTACAATTTAATGGGTTTTAGTATTTTCTCCCATTCTGAAGATCGTCTTTGCACTTTCTTGATGTCTTCCTTTGCGACACAAAAGGTTTTAACCCGAGCGCCCATTGTCTAACCCAGGGTCATAAAGACCTCCTTTGGGGGGGGGTGTTGGGTGGATTTTCATCTGGATGGGTTGGAAGGAGGGGAAGGCCTAGGCCCTGTGAAATGGGTGAGCTGTGGACTCCTGCAGTGAAGCTGGGGCAGGTGCAGGCGTCTGGACTTCGTCTCCTGGGCACTGGTCTGGGAGGGGCTTTCCTGGCTGCTCAACAGGCCATGGATGAGGCAAGAGGTATTTTAGGAATAGTGATCCGGCAGCCCAGTTGGGAGGCAAAATGCTGGAGCCAAGGGTGAGGTCATGGGCGCCGGGATTAAAATGGTTGGGTGGGTGGAGGAGGGGAGAGTCAGGTGCAGGACTCAGCAGCTGGAGTTGGGGACAGCATGAGGGGAACCAGAGGAGGGCGTGCAGCTCCCAGGTCACCAGCCTGAGCTGGGAGAACACAGCCTGGGGTCTGGGAGGTGGCAGTTTCCCCATCACTCAAACTGGCGCATCTGCAGGATCCTCTGAGTCCTGTGTAGGCATCCCACACCATCGGAACCCTGTGCTGGCTGAACTTCCTCCCTCGGGGCACTTCCTTGGGTAGGACTCTTACTCCCAGGATGAGGCTAGGCCCAGCCACTCGCAATGGCCAAATTCTGGACTTAGTGTTTGTTAGGACGTCCCTGGCATTCGAAGCAGTGATAGGGCCTCTGAGGAGTGCTCGCTCATCCGTCCATCCATCCACCCACCCACACACCCATCCACCCACCCATCCATTCACCCATTCTACCCACCCACCTACCCATCCACCCATCCATCCACACCATCGCTGAGGGTAAGGGTTACATAGTGTCCGATTCAGAGCGGAATCCATGGCTTGTTCATAGTCCCTCTATTGAACAGATCCTTAGGGACCCCAGCAGGAGGAACTTTGTTAATATCTGACTGGCTGCTGTGCTCCTGTCCTCCCTGAGCCCGCACGCAGGCAGCTGACTGTGGGGCCTCAGCAAGGCTTTTGGCTTCCTGACCTCATGCTGTAGCTGACTGAGGGCAGAGGCCAGGTGAGGCATCTGCGCAGCTAAAACCGTCCCTGCACGTCAGGCGGAATCCAGCTCCAGTGATGACCTCATGTCTGCACTTGCCCAAGTGAGGAGTGCACCTGTGCGTTGAGGGCCCAGGGGCAGCTGGGCACCAGGAAGGCAGGCACCAGGCAGGCGGCCCCTGGATAGTGACAGGTGGTCCCGGGACCCCTCCAGCTTTGTGCTCTGCCATCTCTGCCCCTCCTGCCCCTTGGGTGTGTCACTAAACCTGTCTGTGCCTCAGTTTCTTCCTCTGTGAAAAGGCAGCCCACCCCATCTTGTTTCAGGGCAGCACTCAGCACACCTGTGAGAGTGCTGGTGGTGGGGTGGCTGCCTTTTCCATGGGAGCCTCGATCTAGTTGTCAGCAAACCAGGCCCCAAGCTGCACCTGTCAGATCCCCTTTATGGCCCCTGACTGCCTGACCAGGGCTGCAAGAGGGAGCTGAAAGCCCAGCACTTGCTTCTGTGTACATTGGTGGGATGAGCTCTCCTGCCCCTCCCCCGCAGTGCCCCAGCATCTGCGTGGCCCCAGTGTGACCCCAACTTTGGGAAAGGAGTTATGAGCTGGATTCAGCGGGGAACCTGAGGAGAGATAAATGCAGACGTGTCTTTGGGTTGATGTTTTCCGAGCGCACCTCCCATAATACTGAGTATGGTACCTGTGAGTACAGAGGTCCGCACACCTGCAGATTGTGGAGTGGGCTTAACAGAGTGTCTGAGTTGCTAAATGGGGGTTGTTTGCATGGAGGAAAGTCCTGCGATAATAGCTTGAGGTACAGACTGGGTGCAGTGCTGAGTCCTCACTTCAGTGTGGACAAAGCAGATGTGAGGCGGGTGGGCAGCTGCTGGGCAGGTTCCTCCTGGGGTGTCTGATGCTGTAACTTGGATAATTCCATGTACTTCCTGCCGCAGCTGTGGACCAGGTGCAGGCTGTGAGCTCCATCTGCCAGGGTAGAAGAGCTCAGGGTGAGAGGGCCACTCCCTCCTGGCCAGGCTCCTCCTGCAGTTCACAAGGCACAGCCACGCTGGAGCCACAACGTCCAGTGCCAGTCCTGTGGGTCCCTGTGGCCGAGGGCTGCTCTCCCAAAGTTCTCGGGTGGCTGCTTCCCCTGCCAGGCTGGCCCCTAGAGCAGGTGGTGGTCTTCCCTCCCCCCTCTCCCAAGGGGCCCACTCCAGGTGCATCTGCAGCCAGGAGGGACAAACTGAGGTTGTGGGCCTGCCCTGTGTGGCCCAGTCCCTGCCCAAAGGCTGAGGGTCCCAGCTGAAGGGACTTCCTGTCCTGTGCCTGCACATGCGGTGACCTCACAGCAAGGACAGGAGGGTTGGGGAGGGACAGGCTGGGGTCCAGGTTTCCCCTGAACTTGGCATGCCCCCTGACCCTGGCTTTGGTCTCCACAGCATCAAGATGGTACTCATGTGGACAAGTGGCGACACCTTCAAGACGGCCTACTTCCTGCTGAACGGTGCCCCCCTGCAGTTCTCCGTGTGCGGCCTGCTGCAGGTGCTGGTGGACCTGGCCATCCTGGCACAGGCCTACGCATTCTCCCGCCATCCCCCGAAGCCCACCCCCCACACGGTGCACCCTGCCAGTGCCAAGGCCCTCTGAGGTGGCCTGGAGGACAAGGACATGGGACTGCTGGCTGCTGGCACCGGCTGGCCACCTGTCCTCCGCGTGGGCCCCTGGGGTGGTGGACAGGTGGGGGCCCAGACGCCGTGTCTGTGCTCACTCACTGGAGAATGGTGAGGCAGGCATCACCTCACGGGTGGGACTGTGGTTGTTTTCAGGGTGATGGAAAAGCAGTTCTTGCTCCCACTTGCTTTCAGAGCACCTGCAGAAGCTGGGAGATGCTCACAAACCCGGGAACAGGCGGAGCAGGCTAGGCCTGGAGGCTTCTCCATATCTCAGCCCAGCCAGTGGCCTCAGCCTGGATGCATCCTGTAAACCCAGGCAGGGCTCAAAATGAGAAGCAGCATTCGGAGAGCTTGGGCCCCAGCACGCAGGCCCGTGGTCAGAACGGCCGAGAATGGATGCACTGCTGGGCGACATGCGGCGAGGACGCAGGGAAGGGTGGGCTGGGCACAGAGCACGTGACCTGGGTCCTGTGTCCACGTGGAAGGGAAGGCACACCAACGCATATGACATATGTCCTGGTCATGTTCCCGGAGTGGCCTTGCCTGGGCCACCTTCAGTGTGGCCGCCTCATGGGACTGGGACTCAGCCTTTGCCCTCGGCTGGGTAGGGGGCCCAGAGGCCCTGTTGCTAATGAGCCTCCTTCCACTGGGGGCAAGGGGATAAGCCCATATCCGTGCCAGCTGGGCACTAGCCAGAGAAACCTCACGGGTGTCTGGACCAGAGCCTGGAGTTCTCCATGATCCTGGAGGGCATGGCAGGGTGTGAGTGGCCCACGTGGGCTCCCTGAAGGCCCAGTGCCGAGCGGGCCGCATGCGGCTTTTTCCCTTTCTCCTGGGAAGTGCGCGCAGTTGCAGCACACAGCCTGTGATGTCCATCTTCCAGGATGGGGACCACTGAGCTGCCCCACACCCCACGCTCTGAGCTCGTGGGCCTGAAGTGACCTTCCAGGGTGGGGGGTGGCCTGGCATGGGCATCCCTGCCCATCATCTCCCATCCACATGGTTCTCATTCACTGCGTGTGGCTGTGGTGGGGCCACTGGTCTGACACTAGTCACCCACATTTGTTTCCCTGTCAGTATTACACGAGCATCTCAGCTGGGCCAGCCCTGCACCAGCTCCCAGACCCCAGAGGCCAAGTGCTCCAGATGCTTACGAGTGGCTCCCGCAGGCAGCGTTTCCCTTCTGCTGGGTGGAGGAGTGGCTCCCTGTGCATTGTCCGTACTGTCTGTGGCCGGCGCTGAAGCTCTCGAGTGTCTGTGGTGGCCAGTGAGAAGTGTTGGAAGCCGTTTCCTCCTCCTGAGTTTTTCTCAAAAACTCCTGAATGTCTGAGCGAGGATCCTGCTTAGTTCTTTGGCCTGTAAGATGCTTTGAAAACATTTATTTTTAAAAATAAAGGGAGATGTCTGTAGCAGTAATTGCCTCTAAATTAAAATATTAGTGACNGACTCGGCCGTGTACGTGGAGACCCTGGGCTTCCTGGCCGTGCTGACCGAGGCCATGCTGGGGGTGCCGCAGCTGTACCGCAACCACCTCTGCCAGTCCACGGAGGGCATGAGGTGGGTAGGCACGTGGCCCTGTTGCTGTCTCCTTGGCACCAGGTGCACACATGTTCAGTAAGAGTCAAACGGGTACAAATCTGGCTGCTTTACTTTCGATTACATTTGTGGGCAGCCAGTTAGAGAGCAGTTATGTTTGAACACAGCTGTCCATCGATCTCTTGATGCGTGAGCATCGTGCTTGTGTGTGACACGTGGGGAGAAGCCTGTGAGCAGGTAACAGGCCCGGGACCGAGAGCTACCCCTGCGCTGTTAAGCGTGACGCTTCGGCATGGGAGGGAGGTGCTGAGTGGGGGTGGGGGACCGAGGGGAGCAGGCTCTGCTCACAGTGGCACAGGTGTACAGCTCTGGGTGGGGTGTCACGAGATGCACTCTCAGGATACAAGTCCAGAACATGTTGCATTAAATTTATACCAAAGCATTTCATTTGCTTTTGTGTAATTGTAATTGGTATTGCATTTTAAATTTCAATTTCCGTTTGCTAGTATATAGGAATACAATTAATTTGTATGTTTCTCTTGTATCCAGTCACCCTGCTGAACTAATTTTATTTTTTATTTATTTATTTATTTATTTATTTATTTAAATTCCTGACTTAAGGACATGCTTGTTGATTTTAGAGAGAGGAACAGGGAGAGACAGAGAGAAACACATTGATATGAGAGAGAAACATCAATCAGTTGTCTCCAGTACACTCCCTCACCGGGGATTGAACCTGCAACCTTTTGCTGTATGAGATGATGCTCCAACCAACTGAGCCACCCAGCCAGGGCTGAGGTCATTCATTTTAGGAATTTTCTTGTGGATCCTGGATTTTCTTTTTTTTTTTTTTTTTAATATATCTTTATTGATTTCAGAGAGAGGAAGGGAGAGGGAGAGAGAGAGAGAGACAGAAACATCAATGATGAGAGAGTCATTGATCAAGCCCACAACCCGGGCATGTGCCCTGACCAGGAATCGAACCCGGATCGCCTGGATCCTAGGTCCACCCTCAACCGCTGCACCACGCCTGGCCGGGCTGGATTTTCTATGTAAACAATTATGTATAAATAAGGACATTTTTATATCTTCCTTTCTGGTCTGTGTGCCTTTTATTTCCTTTTCTTGCTTTATTGCACTAACTGGAACATCCAGCCCGTGTTTAATAAGCAGGGATAGTGGGTGAGGTGGTTTTCTGGTCATGAGGAGAAAGCATTCAGTGTTTCACCACTAGGTATAATGTTAGGTATAGAAAATTCTCTGTTCCTGTGTTTCTGAAAGCTTTTATATTAAATGAGTGTTGAATTTCGTTAAATGCTTTTTCTGCAATGATTTATGTGATCATGTGATTTTTCTTCTTTAGCTGACGGTAGTTACACTGATGATTCTGAAATATCGAACTAGTCTTGTATCCCTGGAATAAAGCTCACTTAGTCATGATGTACAAACAAACAGAAATAAATACGTTGCTGAATTCTACTTGCTAGTACTTCAGGAATTTCTGTATATTCAGTTTTTGTTTTCTTCTTTTGGCTTTGGTATTTAGGTAACACTGTCTTCATAAAATGAATTGGCAAGTCTTCTATTTTCTGGAAGAAATAGTGCAGAACTGGTGTTAATTCTTTTTAAGCATTTACTAGAATTCTCCAATGAAACCATCATGACCTGGATATTTCTTTTTTGGGAGGGTTTAAATTATGGATTTTAATTTTTTTTAAATATGTTTTTATTGATTTCAGAGAGAGGAAGGGAGCAGGAGAGAGAGAAACATGGAGGATGAGAGGGTCATGGATCGGCTGCCGCCTGCACGCCCCCTGCTGGGGATCGAGGAGCCCGCAGCCCGGGCCTGTGCCCTGACTGGGAATCAAACTGGGATCTCCTGGATCCTAGGTCGATGCTCATCTGCTGAGCCACACCGGCCAGGCAGATTCAATTTTTTAAATAGTTATAGGGTTATTCAAATTATCTATTTCATATTGGCTGAGCTGTGGTAGTTTGGGCTAGTTGAGGAACTGGCACATTTAATCTGTGGTCAAGCTGTTTGTCCTGTTCTCTTCCTGTCGGCGTGATGTTTGCAGGGACCCTCCTTTCCCGCTACTGGTCATTTACAGGGGTGGGCAAAAGTAGGCTTACAGTTGTGAGTACGTGAAACACAGAGTTTATTCTTGTATTACTATTTATTAATTATTTGTAGACCTACTTCTGCCCACCCCTGCATATATTCTTTCTTTCTAGAAATTTGTCAATTTTGTTGATCTTTTCAAAGAATCAGCTCCTTGTTCTGTTGATTTTCTGTTTCACATTTCATGAATATTTGCTCTTTATTTAAATTATTAATATAAAACTTTTTCTTTTTCCTAATGTAAGAATTTAATGCTGTAAATACCATCTCAGTGCTGCTTTAGCTGTGTGTGATGTTTTATTTTCATTCATAACAGTGCATATGTTTATTTCAAGACTCCCTTTGACCTGTAGGTCATTTAGAAGTATGTTGTATAATTTCCATGTGTTTAGAGTTCAACAAAAGCCCTGGACCTCTTTAAAAAATAACTTTATTGAGCTATAACTCACCATACAATCTCCCACTTAAAGTGTACAATTTAATGGGTTTTAGTATTTTCTCCCATTCTGAAGATCGTCTTTGCACTTTCTTGATGTCTTCCTTTGCGACACAAAAGGTTTTAACCCGAGCGCCCATTGTCTAACCCAGGGTCATAAAGACCTCCTTTGGGGGGGGGTGTTGGGTGGATTTTCATCTGGATGGGTTGGAAGGAGGGGAAGGCCTAGGCCCTGTGAAATGGGTGAGCTGTGGACTCCTGCAGTGAAGCTGGGGCAGGTGCAGGCGTCTGGACTTCGTCTCCTGGGCACTGGTCTGGGAGGGGCTTTCCTGGCTGCTCAACAGGCCATGGATGAGGCAAGAGGTATTTTAGGAATAGTGATCCGGCAGCCCAGTTGGGAGGCAAAATGCTGGAGCCAAGGGTGAGGTCATGGGCGCCGGGATTAAAATGGTTGGGTGGGTGGAGGAGGGGAGAGTCAGGTGCAGGACTCAGCAGCTGGAGTTGGGGACAGCATGAGGGGAACCAGAGGAGGGCGTGCAGCTCCCAGGTCACCAGCCTGAGCTGGGAGAACACAGCCTGGGGTCTGGGAGGTGGCAGTTTCCCCATCACTCAAACTGGCGCATCTGCAGGATCCTCTGAGTCCTGTGTAGGCATCCCACACCATCGGAACCCTGTGCTGGCTGAACTTCCTCCCTCGGGGCACTTCCTTGGGTAGGACTCTTACTCCCAGGATGAGGCTAGGCCCAGCCACTCGCAATGGCCAAATTCTGGACTTAGTGTTTGTTAGGACGTCCCTGGCATTCGAAGCAGTGATAGGGCCTCTGAGGAGTGCTCGCTCATCCGTCCATCCATCCACCCACCCACACACCCATCCACCCACCCATCCATTCACCCATTCTACCCACCCACCTACCCATCCACCCATCCATCCACACCATCGCTGAGGGTAAGGGTTACATAGTGTCCGATTCAGAGCGGAATCCATGGCTTGTTCATAGTCCCTCTATTGAACAGATCCTTAGGGACCCCAGCAGGAGGAACTTTGTTAATATCTGACTGGCTGCTGTGCTCCTGTCCTCCCTGAGCCCGCACGCAGGCAGCTGACTGTGGGGCCTCAGCAAGGCTTTTGGCTTCCTGACCTCATGCTGTAGCTGACTGAGGGCAGAGGCCAGGTGAGGCATCTGCGCAGCTAAAACCGTCCCTGCACGTCAGGCGGAATCCAGCTCCAGTGATGACCTCATGTCTGCACTTGCCCAAGTGAGGAGTGCACCTGTGCGTTGAGGGCCCAGGGGCAGCTGGGCACCAGGAAGGCAGGCACCAGGCAGGCGGCCCCTGGATAGTGACAGGTGGTCCCGGGACCCCTCCAGCTTTGTGCTCTGCCATCTCTGCCCCTCCTGCCCCTTGGGTGTGTCACTAAACCTGTCTGTGCCTCAGTTTCTTCCTCTGCGAAAAGGCAGCCCACCCCATCTTGTTTCAGGGCAGCACTCAGCACACCTGTGAGAGTGCTGGTGGTGGGGTGGCTGCCTTTTCCATGGGAGCCTCGATCTAGTTGTCAGCAAACCAGGCCCCAAGCTGCACCTGTCAGATCCCCTTTATGGCCCCTGACTGCCTGACCAGGGCTGCAAGAGGGAGCTGAAAGCCCAGCACTTGCTTCTGTGTACATTGGTGGGATGAGCTCTCCTGCCCCTCCCCCGCAGTGCCCCAGCATCTGCGTGGCCCCAGTGTGACCCCAACTTTGGGAAAGGAGTTATGAGCTGGATTCAGCGGGGAACCTGAGGAGAGATAAATGCAGACGTGTCTTTGGGTTGATGTTTTCCGAGCGCACCTCCCATAATACTGAGTATGGTACCTGTGAGTACAGAGGTCCGCACACCTGCAGATTGTGGAGTGGGCTTAACAGAGTGTCTGAGTTGCTAAATGGGGGTTGTTTGCATGGAGGAAAGTCCTGCGATAATAGCTTGAGGTACAGACTGGGTGCAGTGCTGAGTCCTCACTTCAGTGTGGACAAAGCAGATGTGAGGCGGGTGGGCAGCTGCTGGGCAGGTTCCTCCTGGGGTGTCTGATGCTGTAACTTGGATAATTCCATGTACTTCCTGCCGCAGCTGTGGACCAGGTGCAGGCTGTGAGCTCCATCTGCCAGGGTAGAAGAGCTCAGGGTGAGAGGGCCACTCCCTCCTGGCCAGGCTCCTCCTGCAGTTCACAAGGCACAGCCACGCTGGAGCCACAACGTCCAGTGCCAGTCCTGTGGGTCCCTGTGGCCGAGGGCTGCTCTCCCAAAGTTCTCGGGTGGCTGCTTCCCCTGCCAGGCTGGCCCCTAGAGCAGGTGGTGGTCTTCCCTCCCCCCTCTCCCAAGGGGCCCACTCCAGGTGCATCTGCAGCCAGGAGGGACAAACTGAGGTTGTGGGCCTGCCCTGTGTGGCCCAGTCCCTGCCCAAAGGCTGAGGGTCCCAGCTGAAGGGACTTCCTGTCCTGTGCCTGCACATGCGGTGACCTCACAGCAAGGACAGGAGGGTTGGGGAGGGACAGGCTGGGGTCCAGGTTTCCCCTGAACTTGGCATGCCCCCTGACCCTGGCTTTGGTCTCCACAGCATCAAGATGGTACTCATGTGGACAAGTGGCGACACCTTCAAGACGGCCTACTTCCTGCTGAACGGTGCCCCCCTGCAGTTCTCCGTGTGCGGCCTGCTGCAGGTGCTGGTGGACCTGGCCATCCTGGCACAGGCCTACGCATTCTCCCGCCATCCCCCGAAGCCCACCCCCCACACGGTGCACCCTGCCAGTGCCAAGGCCCTCTGAGGTGGCCTGGAGGACAAGGACATGGGACTGCTGGCTGCTGGCACCGGCTGGCCACCTGTCCTCCGCGTGGGCCCCTGGGGTGGTGGACAGGTGGGGGCCCAGACGCCGTGTCTGTGCTCACTCACTGGAGAATGGTGAGGCAGGCATCACCTCACGGGTGGGACTGTGGTTGTTTTCAGGGTGATGGAAAAGCAGTTCTTGCTCCCACTTGCTTTCAGAGCACCTGCAGAAGCTGGGAGATGCTCACAAACCCGGGAACAGGCGGAGCAGGCTAGGCCTGGAGGCTTCTCCATATCTCAGCCCAGCCAGTGGCCTCAGCCTGGATGCATCCTGTAAACCCAGGCAGGGCTCAAAATGAGAAGCAGCATTCGGAGAGCTTGGGCCCCAGCACGCAGGCCCGTGGTCAGAACGGCCGAGAATGGATGCACTGCTGGGCGACATGCGGCGAGGACGCAGGGAAGGGTGGGCTGGGCACAGAGCACGTGACCTGGGTCCTGTGTCCACGTGGAAGGGAAGGCACACCAACGCATATGACATATGTCCTGGTCATGTTCCCGGAGTGGCCTTGCCTGGGCCACCTTCAGTGTGGCCGCCTCATGGGACTGGGACTCAGCCTTTGCCCTCGGCTGGGTAGGGGGCCCAGAGGCCCTGTTGCTAATGAGCCTCCTTCCACTGGGGGCAAGGGGATAAGCCCATATCCGTGCCAGCTGGGCACTAGCCAGAGAAACCTCACGGGTGTCTGGACCAGAGCCTGGAGTTCTCCATGATCCTGGAGGGCATGGCAGGGTGTGAGTGGCCCACGTGGGCTCCCTGAAGGCCCAGTGCCGAGCGGGCCGCATGCGGCTTTTTCCCTTTCTCCTGGGAAGTGCGCGCAGTTGCAGCACACAGCCTGTGATGTCCATCTTCCAGGATGGGGACCACTGAGCTGCCCCACACCCCACGCTCTGAGCTCGTGGGCCTGAAGTGACCTTCCAGGGTGGGGGGTGGCCTGGCATGGGCATCCCTGCCCATCATCTCCCATCCACATGGTTCTCATTCACTGCGTGTGGCTGTGGTGGGGCCACTGGTCTGACACTAGTCACCCACATTTGTTTCCCTGTCAGTATTACACGAGCATCTCAGCTGGGCCAGCCCTGCACCAGCTCCCAGACCCCAGAGGCCAAGTGCTCCAGATGCTTACGAGTGGCTCCCGCAGGCAGCGTTTCCCTTCTGCTGGGTGGAGGAGTGGCTCCCTGTGCATTGTCCGTACTGTCTGTGGCCGGCGCTGAAGCTCTCGAGTGTCTGTGGTGGCCAGTGAGAAGTGTTGGAAGCCGTTTCCTCCTCCTGAGTTTTTCTCAAAAACTCCTGAATGTCTGAGCGAGGATCCTGCTTAGTTCTTTGGCCTGTAAGATGCTTTGAAAACATTTATTTTTAAAAATAAAGGGAGATGTCTGTAGCAGTAATTGCCTCTAAATTAAAATATTAGTGACTGTAGTGGTGACCGAATGTGCCCGTGTGTGGGGATGCTCAGGGTTCTGTCCATACAGAGATTTTAAATCAATAAACTGCTCAAGGACTGTGACCTCGTGGATGGAGTCGTGTGGGGCTCAGGGCACAGCGAACAATTGTTCCTGTGTGCTTATTTCACCTCAGGGGTCTCCAGGGGAAGTGCAGCCTCAGGCACCGGCCTCTGCCCCTGGGCTAAGTGTCCATGTCCCGTGGGCTGGACTGACACCCCCTCCTGGGGCACAACTCTGGCCCCTATCCTGTGAGCCAGGCTCCCCTGGAACAGACCAGCCCCAGGACAGTGACTGCAGGAACCAGGATAGATGCCTGACTAGCCCAGCTGTGCACACAGGCAGGGCAACAGGTGTCAGGGCAGGTGTTGGGTACACCTGGTCAACCCTGGACGAATCCATTTCCCCACCTGATATGAGCTGACGTGAGCACCCTTGAGAAAGCAGACAGTGGGAGATGGGCTTCACCTTCCTGTGCTTATGGATCCTTGTCTGAACCCTGGAACGTTTCTTGGTCGCAGGGAAGACCAAGTTGTTTCCCTGGCCCCCTGTCCACCTGACACTGACAGACAACAGGTAGAACCCAGGTGTTCTTGTGCCTGCTAACATGTGGCTGGGAGTGAAGACAACAGGGAACTTGAGGCTCCTTGTAGTGGCCCAGCCTGCCTGCCCCTGCAGAGCCCATACTTAGCATGGACTTGCCACCTGTTCCTACCCTGGTGTCTGTCTCTGGTCAGTCCCCTGGAACACTCAGCCCCATCCTGAGCGGAGCAGGGCCAGTGAGAGGCTAGGGGTACTTGGGACTGGAGTGACACACCGGGCTGTGCGTGCAGGGCCACTGTCCAGGTAAAGGGCCCCACACTCTGCAGGTCCTGACTCCCTGTGACCTCTGGACACCCTTAGCCACTAGCCCCTGTGCTCTGGGGAGGATGCTAGTGGTGCCTGAGAGGAAGCTGTGCAGGAGAGATGGCACTTTCATTAGCTGTAGTAGCGATTGCAGGAAAATTCTGCAAGAGGCCCCACCCTGGCCCTGCTCCTGCTCTCCGCCTCCCCCAGCTCTGGTCCCCCCACCAGGGGCCTTGCCAAAAGCTGGGAGGTATGGTGGTGGGTGAGTGCCCTGCATCAGTGGGGCCGAGCGATGCAGGTGCCCCTCCAGACAGTCTGTGGCAGCAACGTCCCAGGTGTCATGGCTCAGCTCATTAACATGAGAAGTGCACAGCACCACAGCTGGCAAGTTCCACTGTCTCTAGAGGAGAGGCTCATACCTCGGTGATGCGACAACACACTTCCAGCAACTGCTCGCCCAGGCCCATCCCCCAGCTCCTCCCTGAACCACCTCAGGGCTGGACCACCAGAACGTGTTCCTAAGATGCCGAGCACCTGGACCCCAGACAGCTGAGAGGGTGGAGGCGTTTAGGGGAGAACTGGGACGAGGTGACCCAGGAAGATCCCTGCAGGATAGGGGGACAGGAGGAGGTGAGAGGTTAGGGCTGGACCCCCAAAGGAACTGGGGGGCTATGAGCAACCATGTGAGACCTGCCTGCCACTTCGCAGGGGTGTGGGCTTTGCAGAGCTGGAAGCATAGGGCACAGACCACCTGGGTGACATGGCAGGAGCAGGAAGGGGCTGTCCCCCCACCCCTGGGAACTCCTTTCCCAGACTGCTCCTCCAGGACTGTGGCCCACTGTGCTCCCGCGTCCCCCACTGCTCCCAGGCAGGGCCTTCGGGCTGAAGAGCCAGGAAGGGTTAGGCTGAGGCCTGGGGACAGTGTGACCTTCTGGTATTGCTACAGGCTGGGACTCCTTGAGTTTATTTTTGGAGTCAGAACTTCAAAGGCAAACACAAGGAAGGAGACAGGCTGGGGTGCCCTCGAGGAAATCAGCTCAAAGCGCAGGTTGGTTTTCTACCTCCGAGTGGGGCGGGTCAGCCTGGGCCGGTTCTGGGGCCTCACCGGCCGCAGCAACATGCACGTGGACCGGGTACCGCCAACAGGAGCGAGACCCCTGAGGGCTCGGGGAGCCGCTGCCCCTCAGGCCGTTCCCGTCCCTCCCGGGGTCCTGCTCCTAAGCTCGCGGGGGCAGCCTCCGGGCGCAGGGTCCCGCCCGGTCAGGCCGGCCCCGCGC